CCAACCCTTCACATACTCCCTTCCCAAGTTTCTCCCTATCTACCTGTCACCTCCCTGTATGAGTACATATTTCATACTTTTATTTAAATTGTCTTGCCTACTTATTTATTTGTTACTTTAAAAAGAAAGCTTCATATCACTGCCATTCTGGGAGAGCCTGATCGCTTTCACCATCAGCAGGAGGTAAGAGTGAAAGTAGACACAGTGAAGACAGGACAGAGTTATCACCTCCAGCCGCCACTGGCCTGGATGTGGACTATGTTTCAGGAGACCAGTTCTCTGCGTTGTAAAGGGGTTAGGGTGTTGGACCAACAGAGAATCATAAGAGCGACTCTGGGATTCAGGGGGTTTGCTGCCAGATCTACATTCAGTCCTTTTGGGGAGCACCACATTGGGGAAACTCTGCTTATTCCAGAGTGATCTGTTCTCCAGTGCAAACACGAACATGTTACTCTCCTGCGGGAACTCCCACTTGGCGGCACCCCATGGCCTTAGCGAGAAGTCCAGCATCTCAGTTCAACTCATCACACCTGCAGGGCAGACCCTCACCGTCCTCTCCCCTGGCCCTTAGGCTCCAGCGCCCCAACTTCTTGCCAGTCTCCAAGTATTCTGGGCCCTTCTCCACCTCCAGGCCTTTGCACATACATGGTCCCTCTCTTGGCACACCTTCACCAACTCCCCACCCACTCACAGTCCCCTTTCCGTGCCAGTAACGTGTTTCCTTTTCATTCTAGAAAGTTCTCAGGGTCTTATCATGTCAGTCTCTGAAGATGACAGCTAAATGCCAGCATCCCAACCCAGGAGAAACCTGAATGGGTGTTTTCCCATCCAAAAGAACTTAGGAGCGCAGTGGTTAAGAGCTCAGGCCACTAACCAAAATGTTGGCAGTTCAAATCCACCAGCTGCTTCTTGGAAACCCTATGAGGGAGTTCTACTCTGTCCTATAGTGTTGCTATGAGTCGGAATTGACTCAAAAGAACTTAAGGGCAGGTCAATTCCAGAACCACTTGACTGCAGGCAAAATGGAAGCCAGTTCTTTTTGCTTCTTCTTTCTTCTGGGATAGAGCCATTCTGCATTAAATATGGGACATATTCCAGAAATTTGGGTTAAAAATGTGAGATTTCATAATTTGTATATTTTTTTAATGATGGTCCAGAAGTTGCATAATCCTCATTAGGACTTTTTCCCCCTGAATCTGTGGTCTTTGTCTAAGCTGACACAGCACTCAGGAAAATCAAAGAAGATAAATCTCCCTTGGGCTGGACCATGAGAAACTGCCTGTCCTCATGGCCTTTTATCCTTTTGAAAGGGTAGTGTCTGCCCAAGATTACCACAATTACAAAGGATTCGGTACCAAGTGGGGCTCCCCCAAGGCCAGGTTCCAGACAGGACCCTCTGCCAGTTGCTGCTATGACCCAGGGTAGAAGGTCAACACCTTCAACAAAACCCCCAGACACCAGGATTTCCCTGCACCCATGGTGAGGGACCTCAACACATTTAGGAATGAAATGGTTTGAGTTGATGCTTCAAGAAGGAAGTCGAGAAAAGACAACATGGTTTCTGCAATAAGTTAAATATAGAGTTATCACATGACCCAGCAATTCCACTCCTCGATATAGATTCAAGGGAAATGAAAACAGGTGTGCAAACAAAAACAACGCGAAAGTTCACTGCATCACTATTCACAGTAGCCAAAAGGTACAAACCACCCAAATGTCCATCAGCTGGTGAATGAACAAACAAAATGAGGTATGCCAACACCATGGAATATTACTGAGCCATAAAAAAGGAACAAAGTCCTGATACATGCTACAACATGGATGAACCTCGAAAACATTACACTGAGTGAAAGCAGCCAGATACAAAAGGCCACATACTGTAAAATTTCATTTATAAGAAATGCCAAGAATAGGCAAACCCATAGAGGCAGAAAGTAGATTAGCGGTTGCCAGGCGCTGTGGGAGGGAGGAATAGGGAGTGACTGCTAATGGGTTCAGGGTTTCCTTCTGGGGTGATGGAAATGTCCTGGAACTAGATAAATAGTGATGAGGGTTGTACAACATTGTGAATATACTCAACGTCTCTGAACTGCATTTTAGAATGGTTAAAATGGTAAATTTTATGTTTCTGAATATTTCACTAAAGTAAACTTTTTTTTTTTCAAAGAGAAGAAAAGAAAAGAGGACATAGCGGGACCCTACCTGCAGCCAACGCCCAGATCTGCCCGATCCTCCCTGTTCCAGAATAGACCGAGCTCCTTCAGAAGTTTACAAGGTGCTCCCAGACCCCCATCCCATTAAGTCTGAGCATCTGTTTTGCTCAGTGAAGTGGAATAAAAGTATCCCTGTGTTGTATTTTTCTTTCTTGACAAGCCATCAGCCCTTTTGAATGATGCTGGGTCTGCACATCTGGGACTGATCAAAAACCAGTGAGTTTGCAAAAAAAGTAGGAAGGCTCCTGGCCGGGAGCAGGCAGACATGGAGGCACCTCACATACACAGCAAATTACACTGGTGACAGAGAAAAGGAATTTTCCAGCTCCCATGGGCCAAAGAGGTCAGCACTAGAGTTCTGCCCCTGAAAGCCAGTTTTCAACTGGAACCTACGCAAGGCCAGATGTTCAACTTGGGGTCTTTGAGGGATGAAGTGTGGCGGCTTTAAAAGACCTTATTCTTCTTTCCAGGCCTCTAGGCTCTCCCCATTGAGCCAGCTCTCCTCCCCAAGCTGGGGGCAGGGCTCGGGCAGCCAGCACTGATCTAGGTCCCCTCTGATACAGGTACTAGGTACCTGTTGGCAGAGTTGAGCCCCAGCCCTCGTGTCAGCGCATACCCTCTTCAGGCAACATTAAAGACTCCCGCCAACATTTGAGATGTCCACCTCTCACGAGGAGCCTGATCTGCTCTGCTGTGACAGTCATGTGGACAGTCATCGGCTGGGTACCTCCTTCCAGAATCTGAGCAGGGCCCAGCTGGGCTGGCAGCTCCATCACACTCTAGCTGTGTCATCTCGGGCATGCTCCCTGATCACACTGAGCTTCGATTTACTCCTTGTTAAAAGGAGGGTAGTACAGTGCCCACCTCGTGGACGAGTAAAAGATCATCCATGTAAAACCCTAAGCGTGCCCAACCCAGAGTGAATACAGTGTGCGTCAGCTGGTGGATGATTATCAATGCTAGTGTGACTCCTCCTACTCCCACATCTCAAGGGACTCTGCAAAGATCAAAATCAGCCCCCTTCGATGATCCCCCTCCAGCTGTTTTACCTGGAGCCTCTCTCAGACAAAACAATACCTGGTGGGAAGTTCAGGGGCAGAGCTGGCAGTGGGTAGAGAGGTGTCTTATAGGAGGTGGGGCTCAGTGTTTAAGAGTGAGAGGGTCTGGAGCCAGATGAGTCTGGGTTTGACATCATCAAACACCAGCTAGGTGACCTTGGGACAGTACTTCACTCTCTGAGCCTTGGCTTCCTCATCTGTGAAACAGGGATCTAGAGGCCTTCTACCCAGGTTTACTGAAGGGATGATAACGCAGGTAAAGTGCATGGCTGGGGTCCTGGCACAAACCTGCCACAGCAGAGATACCACCGGCACAGCCCCCACACTCATGCTCCTTCCCCCGCGTGGAAGCAGCCAGGTGAGGGCAGAAGCAGAAAATCAGGTGCATGCAACACATCCCGTCTCAGTCTACTTGGGGACATGCCCCTCATCTTTCTTTGCACACCCTGGTCTCCCACCCGACAGACTGCAGTCCCTAGACGCCCTAGCCCAGCTGGGGAAGGCAGGCTTAGACCGTTCTGCCAGGGCAAGGGGCCCAAAGTCCCAAGGTGGACACTCGCAAACCCAACCTGGGTGGCAAGGCAAGCAGAGTATTTGTGTGGCTCCCAGCCTCTTCTCTCACCCAAAGCAGCACCTCCTCTTTTGGCTGAAAAGAGGCCCAACTCAGGTTTGCTCCAGGGCTTCCAACCAGTTCATTCAGGGTCAAACCCCTGCTGAGAATTTTCATTTCCACCCCAGATAAATCAGAATCTACATTTTAACAAGATCCCCAAGTGATTATTATGTATAATAAATTTTGAGAATCACTGCTCTACTAATAGTTCTCAGAATTTGTCGCTCACCAGCAGCATTAGCATCTCCTGGTTCGAAACCCTGGTTTGCTTTCAAACTTTACTGAGCACGCATCAGCTAAGCCCTTTCTGGCTTGCCCACCAACCCCATCCTTGGCAAAGAAGGCTCCGGGTTTGCTCCACTTGTGAGGCTGGCCTTGGCTCTCTCCACCTGGGGCGGCCAATTCCCCCAGTATCCCAACCCTCACCTTCCAGCTCAAGAAGAGACCCAGAAGCCTGTTTCCCTGAGCCCTGGGCAACTTTGACATGCCCCCATGCCCTGACATGTCTATCCAGAGCTGGGCTCCAACCCAGGCTCTGCCTGGACAACTCACTCCTCCTCTCTGAACCTCAGTTTCTTCATCTAAAATATGGGAAGAAGAAGGCTACCTTGCAGGTTTGTCGCAAATGAAACCATAAAGGGGCGTGGCCTTGTGCCCTGCAGGGCAGAATACACACGCTATTGTGATGACCACGGCCCTCCACACGTGGGTATAAGTCATTCGAAAGCCTGGCACATCCATGTCTTCAGCTTTCCCTTTTATTGACACCACTGTGTACAAAGGAATTACATGAGGCAGGCAAAAGAGTACTTAGCCTCCAGGAGCAAGGATCTGCTGGCTGACCGGTTTTGAATCCCGGCTCCTTTGCTTCTTAGCTATGCACTCTCGAGTAAACGACATATCCTCTCTGACTCTGCTTCCTCATCTGGAAAAGGGAACGATGGTTCTGAGATGCAGCTAAAGCTCTCAGCCTAGTGCCCGTCACACAGAAACCCTAAGAGATGGTGTCTCTGCCGATGCCTACTGCTCCCCCAGACACTGTCAGGGATTACAGAATCACGGCTTGCAAAGAGGGGCTGGAGACTGGTCCAGAGAAGGAAACTAAGACACACTTACCTCCGCAGGGCTTCAATCACCTCGCGGGGTCTCCCGCGCCAAGCAGTGGCGGCAGCCGCGCTGGCACAGCGGGCGGATCGCTGGACACGGGACACTCGGACCGAGCGGGAAGCGAGTGGGTCCAGCGCTCAGCGCGCAGCCTCTTGTAAACTGCGCGAATCCCGCAAGCCACGCCCCCGGATGCGGGCGGAGCAGGCGTTTGGGTGGGCAAGCAGTGTCTGGAGCCGGGCCTGAGAGGAGGGCCCTCTTGTCCTGGTCGTGACCATAAAAGCACCATCTTCACTGAGCGCTTACTATGAGCCCGGCGCGGTGCCAAGCGCTTTCCATCGAAGGTTTGCAAACTCTTTAAATCTCATCTCTCTGCGTCTCAACTGGAAAATGGGAATAGGGAGGCGACTCCAAGGACAGTTGCAAATGAACTCGAGAAGGGCGGGGGCCTTGTACACTGTGGTGCAGAACACACGTTTGCTAGGTTTACTCCCAACCTCTACATGCGGGTAGAAACTTCACTGTCCTCTGGCCTTCATGCCGTCGTGACCTAACACGCACATGCACACTTGCACGCAGACATAAACGCACACGCATACTAATTATCGCCATTTTACAGATGCAGAAACAAGACAGACTCAGAGATGTTTCGAAGATATGGGAACACCTTCGTCAAGGCTAAGGGCTTTACATTCATTATCCCATTAAATTTTCACAGGAATACAGTGAGGCGGAAATTACCATTTCACAGATGGGACAACTGAAGTCTGGAGAAGAGAGTACCCAAAGTCCCAAAGCTGGTGAAAGGCAGCGCCCGGTCCAAACCTTGCTCTTACTACATTTTGGGCTTAGGCTTTTAGCATCCTTAACCTCTGTGGGTTGTATCCTTTCACTTTAGTTATTCCATCTGGATGCTGAACACATAGTCCAAGAAGCCAGACTACATGAAGAAGAAGAGGCAACAGGGCTGGAGGAAGACTCATTAACAACCTGCAATATGCAAATAACACAACCTTGCTAACCTAAAATGAAGATGATTTGAGGCACTTACTGATGAAGGTAAAAGACCACAGCTTTCAGTATGGATTACACCTGAACACAGAGAAAACAATCTTCACAACTGAACCAATAAGCAACCTCATGATAAATGGGGAGAAAGTTGAAGTTGTCAAGGATTTCATTCTATTTGGATGAACAATCAACACCCTTGGAAGCAGCAGTCAAGAAATCAAACGACGTATTGCATTGGGCAAATCTCCTGCCAAAGACCTCTTTAAAGTTCTAAAAGGCAAACATGTCACTTTGATGACTGAGGTGAGTCTGACCCAAGATACGGTCTTTTCAATTACCTCATATGCATGAAAAAGCTAGGCAATGAAACAATAAGACAGAAGAATTGATGCATTTGAACTGTGCTTCTGGCGGAGAATATTAAATATACTTTGAACTGCCAGAATGAACAAATCGGTTTTCGAAGAAATACCACCAGAATGCTCCTTAGAAGCGAGAATGGTGAGTCTTCACCTTGCTTACTTTGGACATGTCATCAGGAAAGACTAATCTCTAGAAATGGATATCATGTTTGGTAGAGGATCAGCAAAAATGAGGAAAACCTTCAATAGGATAGATTGACAAAATAGCCACAACAAAGGACTCAATCATACCAAAGATCATGAGGATGGCACAGGACCAGGCAAGGTTTTGTTCTGTTATACACCGGTCATCATGAATCTGAGCCCATCCCATGGCAACAAACAACAGCCTGTGTGGGTAAATAGAGAAGTCCATTAAGATCCAGAAGAAATCGCCTCTGAAACATCTAAATCCTGGTCCGTTGTTGACAGATGAAGAGACCGAGGCTAGAGGAGCTAAGGGGATCCCCTACACTCAGAAATCATTCACTGATGTGGACCTACTCTGCGCAGATGCTTGGAATTATCTGATTCCACATCAAGTCCTTCCACAAATACCGGCGGGTCTACTCTGCCAGCCCCACCCCCGCCCCGTGCTGCGCAGCAGGATGGGCAAAAACAAGACCCCACAATCACCTTGGGGATCTCAGAGTCTGGGGCGCCCAAGGGAAGGACAGCAGGAGATAAGGATGGGGAGTGGGTGCAGCAACAACGGAGGAATAACTGCTTTGTGACCTACGGGGCATGTGTGACATTGATTCATGCCGGAAACCTTGCCCAAGATTTTGGTGCAGCTCAAACACAGATAAAGAATAATGCAGATGTTATCAGATATCTTTTTTTCCTCAGTTACTCATTTATTTTTGTTTCTCAGTTTTTGAAGCATCATTCTCAGCTCGCCATTCATTCACCCAATACTTACTAAGCATCTGGGGACTCAGTAGCGAACAAAACAGACTGTTTGAGAACAACAGTCCTCGTTTTGACTCAAGGCAAACCCAAAGGGTGGAGAGACCTGTATTAAGGGCACCTCTCAGGTGCTAGGCCCCACACATCATCTCACTGAAACCCTCTAAAGCTGGTTCTGCTATTCTCAGCCCCATATTTCAGTGAGGAAACTGGGCACAGAGAGCATAAGTAGCTTTCCCAAAACCACACAGCTCCCAAGAGGAGGAACTGGGATTCCAACGCTCTTTCCCTCTCAGCTGCCACTGCCTTGCGTATCATTAAACCTTGGGAGTGGAATAAGCTGGGTCCTCGCCTCACCTCCTCCCTCCCTAAAAGGGAAGGGAAGCCACATGGAATCAGATCTTTTCATGGGCCCAGCATTTGAGTGGGGGCAGTAGGGTGGAGGAGTTAATAACAGAAATGTCTGCAACTCTGCTAATTCCAACCTCCACCTCCTTACAGCTACTTTTTTCCAAAATGATTTTTTTTTCTTTTGAAATTCTCTTTTGAGTTCTGTCATCTTATTTCTGAGTTTTTGTGATTCTGATTTGTATTTTTTTTTTATGTTTTGTGTTATTTTCCTTTTTATTGTTGTAAAAATATGTATAACACAACATGTGCCAATTCAACATTTTTCAGGCGTTCAATTTAATGATATTGTGCAACCATCACCCATAATCATTGCCAAATTTCCCATCACCATAATGCATGCTTTTTGTAACAACTCTGCCAGCTCCCCTCTGATCCGGGAGGGCTCTGGTGACACCTCTCCCAGCCCAGGCACTCCAGGGACACCGCTGGCAGAGCTACAACCCCTGTCTGTCATTGGCCACACCAAGCTGCCAACTCCCATCCACTCGACAGCTCTCCTGGCTCCCCAAGCACCATGGAGCCTCCAGACCCCCAGCTCTCTTCCTAGCTCTCTCCCTCATTTCTCCTTTCCTCTCCCTCTGTAGTCTTCTCCTCTGCCCCCCTCCTTCTCGTCTTCACAGCCGAGACTTTGGGGCCTAGATCTTCCTTAGGGGTCCATCATGTGGCTGCAGCAGCTGTTGGCTGGGCTGCAGACATCTGAAGGCCCAACTGGCTGGATGTCCAAGATGGTGCCCTCACATGCTGGTTGCTGACACTTGATGCAGGCTGGGAGCCCCTCTACACTTGGCCAGTCCAGGATGGTGGCCTTACAGTGGTCAGACTCTGCATTGTGGGCTGAAGACCCTCTCCCCAGAGCAAGCCCCCAAAGAACAAGGTGGAAGGCATGTGACCTTTTATGACCTAGCACTTGAAGCCCTGTGGCATCACTTCTGCCATCCTTGACTGATTGCAGCATTCACAGCCCACCCAGGTTCAGGGAGAAGAGACAGAGATCCTGCCTCCCAATGGGTGGAGATCAAAGAGTTTGCAAACTTATTTCAAAACCTCTACAGGAGATAAGACATGTGAAAACAGTGCCTGGCACCGAGCAGACACTCAGTAAAAAACAATCCATCCTTCCTGGGAGCCAGGTAGGAAAGTTTTTGCACCCAGGCAGACTTGAGTTTGAATCCTGACTACCACACACCAGCTATGTGTCCTTGATCAAGTCACTCGACCTCTCTGAGCTACAGTTATCTCCCCATGCCGGATCCCCCAAGGGGCAGACTAAGTCCTTAGCTTGATGGCTGGTGCCCTTGTCTGGAACCAGTCAGACAGAGTTGAAATCCCAGTTCCTCCACTTCCAAGTTGTTGGCTTTGACCAAGTCGTTTAATCTCTCTGTGTTCAGTTTCCCATCTGTAAAGTTGGGTGATGATAATGGGCCATGATAATCTCTCTTAGGACTTCTGTGAGCATTAAATGAGCTAATATATGTAAAGTGCTTTCCACAGGGCAAGTATTAATTAATATTATTGGCACAGAGCAAGTATTAGTTAATATTATTGTTATTAGAACCAGCAAAGCAAAAACAAAGACAGGGAGAGGGAAGTTTAGTTTTCCATCATTTTGCAATCAGAGAATCTAATATGAAAAAAAAAAAATTTGAGTTTGAATGAAATGATGTGTCATGGGCAACATAGACTCCTGGGAGGTCCTGGATTGGAAAGGACAAAGATACTCACCTAAGTGTCCTCTTGGGAAGGGAATGGCCACTGATAGCCTTGGAAATCCCAGCAAAGGATCCTGTTTGCTACCCAGACAGGGAGTTAAGTCATGGAGAGTTTGAGACAAAGGAAAAATCCTGGCTATAATGAAGCCCAACCTGGAAAAAGGAACTGGCAAGCCTAATAGGGAAATTTCAGGAGAGCTTCCAGCCCTCTGCCCTCTTGATCTTGAAACCAAGGTGGGTTGATGGAAGGGTCACTCCCATATTTACAGAATGGTGGGCTGCGACCAGATGGCCACGAATGCTGAATTGTTCCATGCAAAGATAAATGTCAGTCTTTCCTATCTCTATGTGACTGCCATAGGATAAATGGCTTTTGTTCTCACACCAATTTTTCACCAGTTATTTTCATTGGAATCTCGAACTGGACATAAAAAGCCAAGGCTGGGGTGTTCCAGTTTCTCATTTGTTCCTGCCACACCCATTTAGCAGCTGCAGAATATCAAGGAGTCTCAATTCAACATCAAAACCACTAAAAATCTGAGGCGAGGATACATTGGGGTACCATTTTGTTATATACATGGCTTAGAAGGAGGAACTAAGGGGGAAGGAAAGATGGTTACCCTCAGTATTGGCAGGTGTCAATTGTGGGGTTCTCCAAGGATCTTGGTGGCACTGATTCAC